TGGACGTAAAGATGAGCAGTGTAGTCAAACAGCCGATGTATGTATTAAAATTGTTTCAAGTTACCACTGGCAGTTTTCACGCTTTTCAGATTCGTATAGTAGTATAGAAATGCTTTGGATCACGTATCCAAAGTCTCTGGTTTTGGATAATTATGATTCAAGGAATCCACCTCTGTTGTGGATCATTTGGATCAGCAATCCATTTTTCGAGAAGAGTAAATTCTTAAGGATCTGGTTGAGACTGTCAACTTAAGATACAAACACTATCGATATGGTTATCCTGGTGAACTAATTAACACTAGGTTTAGGTACCCTGGCGCCAGGGTTCCGTTCTCAAAATACAATCAAGTAAAAATAATAATTATAATAATAATAAACCTCTAGCACCCTGGAGAAGGTTGAGGAAAAGAAATTTAAACAACAACAACAAACTGAGATTGGCCCTTGAATGTTAGCCGACTTTACTGTGCTACTATTTTGTGCCCTTAGGAGTTGGATAAATAATTAATTAATTTTAGAGCTTATCGATCAACCGGTTAGTGCACCAATTGTGAGCTAGAAGTTGAAACGTTAATTAAGTTATTGATGTTTTCATAGCGGGCTCCTCCAAATAGGGCTCAGGCTCCTAACTTTTTCTTTTAGGAGCCCCAAGGGCTCCCAGAAAATTTTCTTAGGCAGCAGCCTTGGAGTTGTCATCTGATCCACCTGGATCACTTGGTTATGGAGCCTATCTTAAGGGCCACTGGTTTGCGGGTTCTTGGGCACCTTCTCAACAGCAGCAGTCTATTGCTTATAAGGAGCTCTTCCCAATCATCATCGCTGCTCATGTCTGGGGCCACATGTGGTACAAGAGGCATGTCTTGTTCCACTCGGACAATGATGCGGTAGTCCATAATGCCAGGGCCTCTCACTTATGTCCAGGATCGATCTTGTTAGCAAAAATTTGCTAGCAAATTGTTTTCGCAATTGTCACAAAAGAAATAATTGAGAAAAAATTATGTCAGAAAATCACTTACAAATATCGCAAAAATAACAAATCTAACAAGAATCAAAATTTCGCAAAAATCGCAAAAGTAACAAGGATTTTCTTGCTGGCGGCTTTGTCATCATTACCTTAGAGCAGCAATGCTATTCCTTCTTGACCCAAGGCCTTGCTCCGTCTACACATCATTCATATTATTCTGCCCAAGCAAAGTTTATTTCCTTTTGCCGTCAGCTGGGGGAGTTACATCCTTTAGGGTCCCCCTGCCCAGCAGATAAATGGACACTGCCTTTTCATCACTTTTCTTGCTAGGACCATTCAGCATTCTTCTATCAAGGTGTACTTATCTGGGTTAGAGCTCTCCACATTGAACAAGGGTACCCTGATCCGCTTTTGAACTGCCTTTGTCTCCAACGGGTTGTACATGGCAACAAGCACTGTCATGGTTCTTCTTCTTCCAACCGACTTCCCATTACCAATGATTTGATGCTGGTCATTTGGCATTCTTTGGATCTTCACCTTCTGGATCATTGCATGTTCCGGGCAGCTTGTTCCCTTCATTGTAGGATATTTTGGCTTTCTGCATGCTTCAGAGTTCACCATACTTAATTTGCCTAGCTTCATGTCCTGACTTCATTTGGGTGTCCAGGATATTGGGGTGGCCTCACCCTCAGCTCCATCTTGAATGCCCATCACGATCAAGGGTTCTAGGACCTATCCATTTAGGAAGGGCTGTTTCATTCACATTGGCGTCAAACGGCATCCACTCTGTGCAGTTCTTTTTATCTTGTGCTCAGGGGTGATGGTCCAGGCCCCCTGTTTTTGTCTCAAAATGGACAGCCTCTCCTAGCATAAAATTTGTCGGACTGGTTTCAGCAGATTATGGATTCAGCTTAGGTGCCGGGAAACTTCTCCAGTCACAGCTTTCACATAGGAGCTGCTACTGTTGCAGCTCACAATGGAGTACCGGACCATTTAATACAATCTATAGGCCATTGGTCCAGCAATGCTTATCAGCCTTAAATAAGGACGCCAGCTGAAGCGTTAGTTGCCCTTTCCAAAAAAGTCGCCTGACGAGGTTCTTGGAGTACCTGCAGTGCTTTCTTACCACTCATCTTTGGATCCCATAGCATTGTATTTTCCTGGGTCAGCTGCTTGGGACTTGCCAGCTTCTTTAAGTATGTGTTGTTGTGGTTAACCTTGGTTTTAAGTTTTTGGTGCTTGGGGTTAGGTTGGGGATAGGAGGTACCATATCACCCTAGTTCACGGCTCCCTCCATTCTCTAAACACCTGAAGACGGGTTTTGATTGGGTGGTTCCCACGTTCAAGGGTTGCCATGGATACCTCTCTGCAGCTATGGCATCTGGCACCCCACTAACCTTTAAGGCACCAGTTCCTGCACTCATCTATTTGTGGTGAGTTTAAATGTGGCTAAATATCATTTAGGCAAAGTTAAATTCGAGCAAATGCTGTCAGCGATCTTCCTCAACTGCAGTATGTGACCTTTGGGGTGGCCTCTAGGAGTTTTGCAGGGTTTCAAGATTCACTGCTTTACATGTCCAGTGTTGTCAGCTGATCTTTGTGGATCAAAAAGCTTAGCTATTGCCAATCATTTCAGATTCTTGCACCCTCTTCTCCCTCCCTCTTTTGCATTTGGTTGCCAGGGTAAGCATCTTTTCACTGATTTATTTAATGTGACAGTGCTGGTTAGCGGGCACTCATTTGGGTGGTTCCCATGTTCCAGGGTTGCTATGGATATCTCCCTGCAGCTATGGCATCTGGCACCCCACTAACCTTTAAGGTACCAGTTCCCATCATCTATTTGTGATGAGTTTAAATGAAGTTCATTTGCAGATAACACAACACTTTACCAAAATCGACCAGGAGAAATGTAAAATTGAACAAATTTGCATTTGGAATCCAATGACTGTACCGGATTTATTATGTACAATTGATTAATGTCATCAGTATGGAATTTCTGACACTGAGTCGCAGACATTCCTCCTCGCAAAACATTGCCAGCGGCGAGGAGTGAAGAGAAATGGCCGTTTTCACAGGCTACTTCAACCCCTCCCCCACTACTAATTTAATATACATATATATCTAGTAACCTGAAATTTCAGGGAAAGTCCTCCCACATTCAAATAATTTCCTGGCCTACACCAGCAAACATTTCCAGAACTAAATCTTTTTCTAAAATTCAGTACGTAACCACTGAGATTATTAGCAATGAAGGTTCAAAAACCCACCTGGCAACTTGTGATCTCTTCCCTGTGGCCATATTGTCCTTCAGTTCAGCTACTACTCTATTGTTGGGGCCAGTTTTGAACATCTCCCCAACCCTGAAGATCTGCCCTAACACTGTTCAAGACAAATCTTTGTTGTTCTAGTCTGCCTGAAAAAGAAATAAGAAATTGAAGATTAAGCAAAGCTACATATATAAGAATACATGATAATTTTAGATTTCCAGGGAATTTTAGAATACAGTTGAACCTTTCCACAATGGTGACAAAAGAGAGTGGCTGTTGTAGAGAGGTGAGATTTTTCATAACTTGGACACCCCATAGCCAAGTACTGGTTGACACTATCAGCCGTTACTCTGTCAACATAATTATCAGTCAAATATCAGTCAAAATGTCAGGCAAGTATCATTTGGTACATCAGTCTACATCAGTAGGCCGAGTGTCTGTCGACATGTTAGCCGATATCTTAGCCAATAGCTGACTGGGAGTGGGCAGACATGTCAGCCAAGAGGTATTCAAATTACAAAAAATCTGAGAGAGGTGGCCATTGTCAAGAGGTTTAAACAAGAGTCAATGTTGACTATCCACTAAAAAAATATATGTTGTAGAAAGGTGGCTGTTGTTGTAGAGAGTTGGCTGTTAGTATAGGTTGCACTATATTATTTACATTATTAGGGACTTTACGATCCAAAATACACAAACTGGTAGTATTAAATAGCAAACGTCTCATTTGTAAAGCTACAGTATGAGTAAAAAGTGAATGTCTAAATTCCTTAAGGCTTGTGATTCTCCTGAAAGAATCTGGAAGCGAGTTCCAACATCTAGTTGTGGCATAACTAACAGAGTTGAGGCCATATGTCATTGTTTTAGGTTTTCGCAAGACTAACACATTTGTACCTCTTAAGCTGCAGTCAGACGTTCATTTTAATGAAATGTGCTGAAATGTGCTCTTAGAATTTGAGCTCCCGGTCCAGAGTTACATCTACACCAAAAAGTTCAATAGAATCAGTTGTCGAAAACAAAAACTGAAGGTCCGTTTTACATAGAATCATCCCCTGGTGCTTACTTGGGTTAGCAATCATTCCATTAAAATTGAACCAGCTGTTAGCAATTTCAGCCTCGCACACCATGTGCTCTTCTAGCCATCTTGGGTTGGTGTTCGAAGTGTAAAGTTGACCATCATCTGCATACGTATGTATATGTAAGTTTCACTGTTTTTGTGTCACTGATACATACATTGTTGATGAACAAGTTGAAGAACATAGGTCCAAGAAAGCTGCCCTGAGGCACGCCCTTTCTTACGCACATTCAATCTGAGAAGGAGTCGTCCACTTTCATACGCTGCATCCTGCCTGTCAAGTAGTTACTTACAAGCGCACAGCCTCTGTCATCTATGCCATACGCTCTCAACTTAGCAATTAAAAGTTGGTGGGGAATGGTGTCAAATGCCTTTGACAAGTCCATGGATACAACAGCAACAATCTCCTTGTTGTTAAGGCAACGCCTCCAATCATCGGTCAGTCTAATCAATGATGTCTCGCAGCTGCAACTGTATGTTGACGCCTGTATGCCAAAATGAAATCGAACAATATGCTGTTATAGAATTTGCTCGTCTGAAAGGACAAGAGCCTCTTGAAGATGTTATTTAGTGCTGGCAGCACAGTCACTGGTCTGTAATACTCGTTCTTGGACTTGTCATGTTTTTTGAACAACGGAGTGACCCGCCCATTTTCCACTGTGATGGATAACAGCCTTCTACAATCAAGTGATTCATTATGTCACATAATGGACCAGAAATTAAGCTTGCTGATTCTTCGAGAAGTCGGGGAGGTATTAAGTCATGTCCACAAGATTTGCGCGTGTTTATACCCTTGCTCCTTGCTGGTGCACGGAGACGTTTTGCGAGGAGGAACTTCTGCAACTCAGTGACAAATAATTCCATAAATAAATGATCATGTAAATTTGTCTGGAATCGGGTCAGAAGTGCTCATTGGTCGATGGAGAAGTTAAATTGTTTAGCTATTACAGACAAAAGAGAAAAGGCCACAGAGAATGTAAACGTGATGAATACATAACAAAACAGTCTATATATTTTGTGGAATATAATTATAATGTATTCTTCTCTAGAAGAAGCATTTGAGTTTTGCTTGAGCTCCTTTGCAGATGAACACAACAATTTTACTAAAATCAACCAGGAGAAACGCACAATTGAACAAATTATTTTGCATTTGGAAGCCCATGTTTACCAGATTTAAAATGTAAACATTGACTTACATGTATGTCTCTGTATGGAATTTCTGTCTCGGAGTCGCAGATGTTCGTCCTCGCAAAACGTCCCCAGCGGAGAGGAGCAAGGAGAAATGGCTGTTTTTGCAGGCTATGCTCTGTACAGAGTTGGCCTTGGAAAATGATTTTGACATACTATCTATCTCAGAAAACTGGTTCAACTCTTCTGTGGCTATTGCTACTGTGGAGATTCCTGGGTACAGGATCTTTAAGCTCGACCGCTTTGGAAAAACAGGCGCCAACATCTGTCAAGTCTGCCCTGAAGGTAAAATTCCTGAAGGATCTCACAGGAATAACTGAGTCTGGCCTACATCAATTGTGGATTCAAGGGCAAAACAAGAAGCTTCGCTCTCTATTGGTTGGCATTATTAATTTATAAACCTCTTCTAATTGGAGTCGCATGTCTTGAGAAGGATTTGGTGCCTAAGTACATCCAGGCTTTATCACTTAACAGGGACATCATGGTAACTGGTGACTTAACCTGTGATCTCCTTTCAAAATATCCCTAGAGGAGGTGTGCTGCACTCCTTTTGCGCAACTGTAAAATTAACGCTATGTAGCCTGAAATTCATCCGATTGCTTCGCGTCGCATCGTTTTCTCCTCTCAACAACGTCTGAATTGACCGACCATTAATGCCATCCAGGGACGTCACTCACTACCCGAAAACCAGGTAGTGATTTTGATTGGTTGATTGTCTAAACATTCGCATAATTATGTATAATTATGAAAAATTTTAGCGGGATTGTAGCTTGATATTCAGCGGATCACATCCCTGGCATTCTTTCGTGTAGTTCAAACATTTTGATAAGCTTAATATTTATCTAAAACGGCAAAATGGCCCTTGTCTTCGAAACTGAAATGCTAAATTGAACTGCAAATGAAGAATCATTGCAGAGAGTCAGTAGGTTTTTCATTTGGAGCTGCTTTATGGATTCGGCGGTCGGTGATTTTGTTTACGCGAAGTTTTCTGAGATCAATATTATAATTCGACCTTCGTGCTATTCTGTATTTTTAACTTCAAGTGTAATGATTCTGTTAGCTTTTCTTTTTTGTTTCCTTATTTTTTCTTCATTAAGGACAAAATAGCTTCTTTTCAATTAAAGCAAATCATTGTGTTTTTGAACTAAGTGTTCCATGTGTGTGTTTATCAGTCATTGCGTGATTGCGACCGAGTTTGATTATAGAATTCAATACAACCGTTTCACAGTTGTACTGCATGTAGTTGATAGTTTGAACGTTAAACATGGACTACGATCGAACAAAATAAAGCAATTCTGTATCACGCAGTTATTTCCAAACGATATTTCTCGGTTTGCCACTTGAAAATCGTGTTTTACTTTTTGCATGAATTAAAGCAAAGGTCAAGGAGTAGTGACGTCACTGGACGGCATTTTTAAACAGCCGGTCGATTCAGACGTTACCGAGGGAGTAATAACAGCTGTAAAGTAATCGGATGAAATTCAGGCTAAATGCTATGCAGCTTACACATAAACAAACTAGAGTAACACAGGGTTCGCAAATACGCCAAATTTGGCGTATTTTATGCCAAAATTGTTCAGATGACTCCACTGAGGTTACGGAGGGAGTCAATTCGACTCCAAACATTTTTTGGTCATAAACAGGGAGCCACTTCAACTCCAGAAATTTTCAGTAACAAACACAGTTTTGTCCTTACCTTTTTCGCAGCAAATACGATTTACGTTAATTGTTAACGTTCTAAACCTTAATTAAATCATCGAAATTAAAGAATTATACTGCACGACAAAACAGGAAGAGGGTAAATTAGGATCAAAGTTTACTAGATGACCGCCATCATAGATTTGAGCTTTCCAGGTCAGCGGACCACCACAGCTAATTTGTGTATCCCTCACGATAGTGTATACATGCCAGGACCACCTGCTGGAAAGTCTGATACTTGACTCCAAATATTCCAAAATGACTTCAAAATTTGTGAAGAAGAAGTCACACTGACTCCACTCACCAATAAAATTTGCAAACCCTGGTAACAGACACATTGCGCAGTTTATTGGATGTCATCATGGTTTCCGACCCTGCTCTAGCCAAAGGGGGAGAACAGCACTCTCAAGGTAACTATAAGCGATCATTTCTTAGTCTTCACTGACATCAATCTAAAATCACCTAAGCAAGCCCCAACTTACGTTGTTATGCGTAGCTTTTGTAACTACAAAGCTGACTAGTTTGCAACTGACATCGCCCATATCCCATGGGATACTGTCAACCTCAGGGACTCAGTTGATGATAGGCACGCAAAAGGTGTTCATGGCTATGCTTTTGAATAAAGCTCCAAGATATGACAGAATTCCCTTATTTGTGATCAAGGATTGTTTGGCCCACGTATTGCCACCTTAACTGGATTAGTAAACCTTTCGTTTCCCAGCTCCACATTCCCTAGGGCCTGGAAGAAGTCAGAGGTGGTGCCGCACCTCAAGGATGGAGATCATGAGATTCCTTATTTCAACCATCCGATCTCGTTACTTCCCTCACTTTTCAAAGTGACCAAGAAGATTGCTTTGAATCAATGTAAGGACTTTCTGACTCAACAAGGCAGCCTCACCTGCCACCAGAGTGTGAATCGCAAATACATGTACCACTCTACCGAAACCCTGAGTCTGCTTGTTACTGGTCATATTTTCAAAGCAATGAACAAGAAAGAAATAACAGCTATGGTCCTGATTGATCAAAGCAAGGCATTTGATAGCATACATGTACATGTCTGTGTTTCGACAATACAATATATATTTTTTCATTTACATGTATTATTATAATCATTAGACAAAATTTGTAAATTAGCCATTTTTCTATCCTTTTCTAAATTTCAAAATTAATAATTTATTATTATTAAATCAGAGGAGCCACATAGTGGAGATTTGATAAAGATACTGTACTGTGCCATTGCACATTACTGATAACTCAGGCATAAAAATATAGGACTCCAAAAGTTTAAAAACATTTAGATAAAGGTCTTTCAGTGCACATTTCTCTGTTGAAACTGATGATAATTAAGGCCCGAATCTCTTTATGAAAAGACAAGTGAGTATACTACACTGTACTTTTTCAGCTGGATCAAAGAGGAGAAGGGTAGTACAAAAGAGAGTCTCTAGATTTTAGATCTCCAGAGGTTGGCATCAATTTTATTCAAATGAACAAAAACCCATAAGACAGTTCTCTGGTTGTGTTAAGTAAGATATTTACATTAATTGAATATGGCTTGATGCATGGAAAGATTTTTGAAAAGTGGCTGATGGGTGCACTTTTTGAAGTGCTAATTAGTGGGATATTTGACCATCTAAACTGCCAAAGACATAACAGGGAAATTTGACTAAAATTTTTTAAAAAAGTGAGATGCTTGTGGTTTGCACAGAGGCAAATACACCACGCTTGACCCACATTATTTTGCATAAGCATTGTCTTTTATTTCTCTCATGGCCACTGTAATACCCAGGAGAAATTAAAACAAACATTATTCAGAGTTTTGGGAGGCAATCAAGGTGTATCATGGAACATGTGCAAATTGCAAATGGGAAGTTTTGGAATTGACTGGAACATAACTATGGTGTATTTATGGTATTCAAACTCCTGGTTTGCAGCTGACATCACAACAGTCGGGTAAATTCTTTGAAAAAAAATTCTACCGCTTGGACCCCCAACATGGCCATTTCTTAATGTGGTTGTAAACCAAGAATACATAGCCTTGTCATTGTGGAATTTACCAAGAAAGGTTCTCTTAATGGAGTTTGAGTCAGGAGATGTATACATGTACAGGCCTGTCAACTCTCCCAAATAATCCAAGGGACTCCAGATTAGAGTATGAAAATAATCTTAATGCTTAACGCCAAAGTTTGCCATTTCCTGTATGCTTGAATTTCCAACAATAAAATTTCAAAATATTTTGCATTGTTTGAGCTGTTTTAAAACTCTTAACATCAGCCTCATAAGCTCTAGTATATACCTTTGTAAAGTAAGAAATAATGTGATTGGATGGAAGTAAACCAACCAGGTCAAATAATACAATGCAAACAACATATTTTTGGCGCATTTGCTTCATGTCAAATTCCTGATGATTGGAGTCAATAAGTATTTTTTGCACAAATAATGTCATGTGTCTAACGATACGATATGATGTCATCTATCATCCCTTACCTATCAATAAAATTATCCTGGTGTATGTAATCGAACCAAATCGAACACCAATCGCTCAGTTGAGTTCGGTAATATTGTACATAATCTAACTCCCAATACAATTTGGCAAATTGAACAAAATCGAATGTTTGATTACCAAACGGTTGACAGTCGTACTCAATCAAACTTGTGATTACCAAACTCTTGTTTGTTTGATTTTTATGTTTAAGGTGGCTCAACTGGATTTTTTTGGGGGGCTACCTCCCACGTTTGAGCATAAACTACGTCGGCATGAGTAAAGATATGGGAAAAAGGTTACCATAACTGTATTATATAATGATGAAAATTTCTTATGATCTGGGTTTTATTGCAATCGGAGTCGCCATGGCAACATAATGCACCATTACGCTTTTTATTTATCTTTGTGTTTCTCTGTACCAGGAGTTTTTTGAAGAAATCGCTTAATGGAGTATGTACCTGCCATAATTGCCTCCATTATGGCAAAGTTTCAACAAATTCTATGAGAGCGTTTTCAAAATATTTTGACACGCAGTTTTAACAATCATAAAAACAGTGAATTAGCATGCTATCCAACAATTCACTAATATTTTAAGAAACTGATAAGCTTTGGAAACGCGGCTTCATCCCATAGTGGTTTGATTCCATTGCAAATTGCATACAAAAAAAAGAGGGGAATTGCTCTGAGCGATCGCGAGTAAGAAGAATTTTATTAACTTGCATTCAGCTGCTTTTGATACAGGTTTTGGAGGTAATTTGGTCCATGCCTATAAATTTTGCATTTTTCAAAAAACCGCTCGATAAATTTTTTTATAAATTCGACAACCTTGAAATCAATTGTCAATAAATATTCCCTCCAAGTTTCAAGAACATTGAAAACAGGGAAAGCTTGACGTAGTTAATGCGCAAACGTGAGAGGTATCCCCCGAAAAAAATCCAGTCGAGCCACCTTAAATATTAACACTGATTAAAAGCATAGTAATGAAAAAAAAGCCTAAATATTACCCTATTATCAAACAAGTGTACATATTTTGCGGAAATTTTGGAACCATCCCCCTAATCCTCTTCAATCCCCGGCCTGTCCATGTCACCCCTGGCCGCCCTTAAGGTAGCCTGTGAACAAGCTCTCTGTTTGGGGAAA